CATTGCTTAAAATACTAAATTATTCCAGGGTTAAATACTGGATATGGTATTTAAGAAGAAAGATAAACTAGTCACCATCAAATTAGTACTAATTCTATATGCACATCACTTACAGTTCTATTACAATTGGCCCAGCTTTAGTTTCATCCCTCTCCATGAAAGCAAAACACTTGGTGCTGGTAAACCATTTTTTAGGATTGTAGTGTTTGAATTCAAAGAAGATAGCTGCACCTAAGGAATTAAAACAAGCCACATAAACCACTGGCGTGCCAATTCATTTTCTTTGATCACCAGAAGCATATGAACAGCTATGGCTGGCATAATTTAACAAAGCAACTTGTGCCAGTCTCAATGATTTGACAGTAACTTAATATGGTTGTCACCCCAAACTCTTCTGTATCTGAGTAGAGCGACATGTCTCCTTATCATCCACTTCTACCGACTATAGCAAAACTTCTTTAGCTAGACTGCCTCAAGCATGTATAACAGTTATGTACACAGGTAGAATCACAAGCTGCTATAAAACATGAAATATTATAGAAGAACAAAGATACTTCAACACCCATAGAAACTCCTTAGGTAGAAAATGCATTTAAAAGAGTTCCTAAAAGAAATTAAGCTTGAATCATTTCCCTTACCCCAAAGCAAAACCTCAAAACTTCAATCTTGGGGGTATTTTGGAATTCAAACAAAATAAATCACGTGCTGGTTCAGCTGTAAAATGCTACTTCTTTTCTTAATAACTTTTTCAGTATTCAAAGCACTGTTCTGATATTTTTCCTGGAATTGCATGTTTGTGTTAAGACAATGCTGTGGAAGACAAAGCTTCAAAGAGCAAGTCTATTTATTCTGCCCCTCTCCTCCGATGAACAAGTGATAATGAGAATTCAGACAGTTCTGACCGGGTGTGGTGGCTTATGCCTGTAATCCCAGCATTTTGGGACACCAAGGTGGGTGGATCACTTGAGCCCAGGAGTTTGAAACTAGCCTGGGCAACATGGTAAGACCCCAACCTCTACAAAAACTTTTTTTAAATAGCCGGGCTTGGTGGTGTGTGCCTGTAGTCCCAGCTACTTGGGAGGATTACCTGAGCCTGGAGAGATTAAGGCTGCAGTAAGCCATGATCGTGCCACTGTGCCCCAGCCTGTGTGACAGAGTCAGACACTGTCTTGGGAAAAAAGAAAAGAAATTTAGACAGTTCTATGTCTCCAAAGTCCAACAGATAAACTCTTCCCCCAATTTTGCAGAAAAAAGCTAAAAAGAGAAATAAGTTGCCTCATCAAAGTGGCCAAGAAAAATGAATTTCTAAAGAAGGCATGGAAAGTCAAGGAAGGAAATCAGTCTCACTCTTTAATGACTAGTTCTAAATACTGCCTTAACCAGAGGAGGGCAGGAGCTTGGCTTTCAAAGACAACATACATTCAATGCTTTCACTGATGACAAAACTCACAAGTCACTAGAAGTTTAGCAATGTTTAGAAATGTATGTACAGCACTGGCACTTGGGTCCAAATGGAGCATGTCGCATGACAAAAAGGGAAGGGAAAGCAAAACCAATCGCTCAGGAGACACTGGGATGTGGGTGAGGGAGAGATGGGCATATTCAGCCATCCACTTCCAACATGCTTGAAAGGATCACAATAGTTAGGTTACTGGTAACATCTCTTCCCTAGGTGTGTGACCTTGTCATTTCTACAAATGGTGGCTTCTCTTCTCCCTCCCACAAGAATCACAGAGGCATTTTGTCATTAGAAAACCTCAGAGATTTTTAAGATAGCAGAGGCTTTTCAGCTAGGAAACCCATCTCCTCCTCATGGTTGTGTCTTGAGGTCTGAATAAATGTGAAGATAAAGTCACATTTGAAAACAATGCTAAAGTTCAAATATTTTACCATCATTTTGAGGAAGTTAAATTATTAATCTGCATCACCTGTAAATAATATATTTCCTGTTCCCCTCATCATGCTAATTATAAGAAATAACAAAATACAAAATAAGAATATCCTGGGAAGATTAAGTTAAAATGTTTGTAAACATGAAAATATGTTCATTAACACTAATATCAGTTAAAACTACAACACCTGTAAACAGTAAGTTTGAAGCTAGAGAAAATTAAATAGAGTCCAATTCTGAATCTAGTTCTACTTTTATTATCTGGTAAGTCAAGCCATTAAGAAAGAATGCAGTGTAATAAAAAGAAAAGTGGGCCCATGAAATACTTCACCTTCTCCCCTCCACATCACAAACATTTCTTAAGGCAATGGAGTTAAAGAAATAAAACAAATCAATAGTTTGTTCAGAAGACATACTCATAACTGAAATTTCTTCAGCAATATTTAATAAGCACTCCTACATACACAGTCTGCTAACACAGCCACTCTGGAACTTTGGTGTATTTCAGAATCACCTAGAGGGCATCCTAAAACAGAGTGCTAGGCCGGTCCCCACGGTTTTGGATTCAGGTGGTCTGGGGTTGGCACCTAACAAGATTCCAGGTGCTGCTGCTCCTCTCCCGGGGGTCATATTCTGAGGACCACTGCTGTAACAGAAGCACTGAAAGGTCTTTTAGTGGAGGAACAGAGGAGGCAGCAGAACCAGACTTGAGAAGTGAAATATCAAATATTTCAGAAGCTGAGGCAGTCACTTCAAAAGACACTTGTATATCCTACAGAGCTTGAAAATTTCAGAAACTGCAGCTGAATCCTCAGGTGATAAAGGGATTCTGAAGCCACCTCTTTGGAGAACACTGAAATTCTCACTGGGCAAAAAGCATGGGGAAGTATTTAATCTTAAGAACTGCACTTGGAAATGTAATCTCACTATTTCAGAAATTTGTGTCCTTTCCCCTTTCCTAACAATTAACTGCAAGTCAAGTTATCATTCTACCAAATACTAGAAATACTCAACACCTAATCATCAGGGAGCTGCTGCTTCTCCCAGACTTTTAGTGTGTGAAAAACTTTGTTTTCTTGGTAAAGACAATAAAATTCTATTATTAAAGATTGTTTTACTACATAACAGTGTTACTAGACAGGTAGATAACCCAATTCCTAATTCCCACATTTTAAAAGTATGTATATTTTATTGAAATCAATAAACACTATGTGACATTTACTTTTGCCAGATACTAACTATGCTACGTCCAACATATGTACAAAGGCAAATAAGATGAGAATTCTGTCCATAAAGAAGCCAATTATTAGTTAAGATTACAAACCTTTGGTTAATTTTTCAACATGATTCTGGAGCTCAATGTCCACATTAAAATGAACATATGTATCTTCTTTTCTTGAAGCCACAGGAGTATCTTGCACAGGAGTTAAGTCTGTGCCATTCAGATCTAAAGAGAAAATAAGTTTCTCTTTAGGAACATTCAAATATGCAGACTTAACAACTGCAAACTAGGTAGGGTGTGGTGGCTCATGCCTGTAATCACAGCACTTTGGGAGGCCAAGGCAGGTGGATCACTTGAGGTCAGGAGTTCAATACCAGCCTGACCAACGTAGTGAAACCGTGTCTCTAATAAAAATGCAAAAAAATTAGCCAGGCATAGTGGCATGCGTGTCTGTAATCCCAACTACTTGGGAGGCTGAGGCAGGAGAATAGCTTGAATCTGGGGGACAGAGGTTGCAGGGAGCCAAGATATTGCCATTGCATTCCAGCCTGGAAAACAAGAGCAAAACGCCATCTCAAAAAAAAAAAAAAAAAAAAAAAAAAAAAAA